TATTTTAAAAATGAGGTGTTGCTCAATTCTAGAATTGCAAATAAAGCTAATTAGATCATTTTTTTCCTCTTTCTTTTTTTCTTATTTTTTTTATATTACTAGGAATTTACTCCAGGACTCTTTACCACTAAGCTACCCAGATCTTTTTGTTTTTATTTTATTCTTTTTTTTTTTTTTTTGTACTAGGGATTGAACCCAGTGGCACTTAACCACAGAAAAAACATTCCTATCCCCCACCCCTTTTGCTTGAGACAGAGCTCGCTAAGTTGCTGAGGCTGGCTTTGAACTTGCAACCTTCTGCCTCAGACTCCTGAATAGCTGGGATTACAGTGTGTGCTACCACCCAGTTAGATCTTTAAATTAATTTTGTTTAAATTTGTTATTTTGTTTTTTGACAATTCTAAACATAAATAAAAGAAAAGAAACCAGGCTCCATGGCACTTGCCTAAAATCCTAGCTACTTGAAGGTGTAGGAGGACTGCACCTTCAAGGTCAGCCTTAACAATCTAGCAAGATCCTCACTCATCAACTTAATGAGACCCTGTCTCAAAAAATAAAAATTATTGGAGATGTATGGGGATGTAGCTCAGTGGTGAAGCACCCCTTCCCTGTACCAAAAAAGAAAAAATAAAAAAATTATAATCTCTGATTCTATATTTCTACTTCTAGATTCCTGTCCCCCCAAATTAAACAACTACATAAATATGTACATCCAAGAATATTTATTCAGCAATATTTATGAAAACAATCTAAAATTCCAACAATAGAGAGGTTTAAATAAAGTATGAAATAATCATACCATGGAAAATTTTACAGCTGTTCAAAATAATGATTTTATAGAATACACAATGATTTGGGAAAATGCTTAGGCTAAAAAGTTTAAGGTTAAAGAAAAACAGCATATAAAACTGTACATAGAGTAGGATTCCAAACTTCAAATACAAACACACATATATACATATATACATATACCATACCACAAGTAAAAAAAAATGAAAAAAAAAAAATAAAAATGTTAACACTAGTTATCTCTATGTAGTAAGAGTATAAGAGATTTTCATTTGAAGTTTTCTGTATTTTTCAATTTTCTCCAAAATTATGTATTGCTTTCACATTTAGAAAAATAATAAATAAACATTAACAATAACAACAATAATAATACAAAAATAAGATCAAAAGGTTTCCAAAAGACGTAACATTGTATAATTTGAGTATCCTTTTTGTTTTATTTTATAAATGGCTAAATCTTCCAGCTAAAAAGTTTGTATTTCCAGTAGTAGTACTTGTATTTTTTCCTTGACTGGATTTGGATACAGGATCCACTGCAACATATTTGATTTGGAAACCTCCTGCTGTTACTGAAGCATCACTCAGAAACTTCAAGGTCATGACATTTCCTATGGAGACAGGAGCATACAAAAGAACAAAGTTACTTTTTTTTTTTTTGGTCTCATAATTTGAAGATTCACCTTTCTCATATAAAAGTGGCCCTTCCTTCCCTTTCTTTCCTCTTTTGTACTGGGAGTTGTACCAGGGCCTCACACATACAAGGCTGGTGCTCTCTACCTCTGAGCTGTCTCCCCAGCCCTTTTTATTTTATTTTGACACAGTCTTGCTAAATTGCCCAGGCTGGACTCCAACTTGCTGTCCTCCTGCCTCAGCCTCCCAAATCATTGGGATTACTGGTGTGTGCCATCTCTTGCCTTTGTTTGTTTTTAAAAATAGAATTCTCAGCCCATCCCCCAACCCCTAACCACCTCACCAATTATCTCCTGCAGCTCTGACACCTTTCAACTTTCTGTTAACATTAAAATTTTTTTCAAGAGTAGAAAAAGAAATATAAATAGAAGTTTTAATAGATCACCTTTTCTAGAAAGGTTGCAACAGAGTAATAAATTAATAAGATTTGAGCATTAATCATTCAAGGATAGAACAGGACATTCCATATTTTGTAATAATGATGAATAAATTAGAATTGAATGCACTGCAAGGCTGGGTGTGGGAGTAAGTTAACTAGAAGTGTCTGTTTAAAGACTACTTAGAGGCTGGGGATGTGGCTCAAGCGGTAGCGCGCTCGCCTGGCATGCGTGCGGCCCCGGTTTGATCCTCAGCACCACATACAAACAAAGATGTTGTGTCCACCAAAAACTAAAAAAAAAAAAAAAATAATAAAGACTATTTAGAATCACAGCTCAATGTAGCTTTGGTATTTTTAGTTGCATAAGTATTGTGATAATTTTATGACTTGGAGGAAAACTAAGAGTATATGAAAATGCCAATGACTGGTGCTGGGGATGGAAAAAAGAAACGAAAAAAAAAATGAAGACTTCTAAGAAAGTTAAGATTCTTCACTAGAAAACAGCAATTTGGGATAATATTAAAGAGTAATCATGCTTATTGTGAAAAATGTACGCCTCTACAAGGACATTTCTGGAGGCATATTTCTTAGAAAAAGACAAAATAATTTTGGGAGGAGTAGATTTTGGAAAACAGCCTATTATATTCAACCATTTGAGATTTACTATACAAATCAGCACATTAAAAGTTCCCCGTGGTCTTCCAATAAAAAAAAAAAGTGTTTGACAGTGTTTAACCCAATGTTTCCCAAATTAACTTGACCCCAAAGCCCTTTGCTATTTAAAATATTTTACAGAAGCCTTTTCTTCAGAATATTCTCTGGGGAATGCTGTTCTAAGATAAAAATGTAAAAAAAGTAATGTACAATTATTTTTAGCTACAGAAGGTTTTTGGTTTGTTTTTTGTTTTCTGTGTGTGTGTGTGTGTGTGTGTGTGTGCGTTGTTGGGAAATGAACCCCAGAAATCAATCATAAGCTACAGGCTACTGTAGTGTTCGCAGATTTGCAGATTCAATATTCTCACTGAATTTCCTACAAATAAAGAGGATCTATATATTTTTAGTGCAAGGAGTTGGTATAAATCTTTAAGTATAAATAAAAAAATTCTTATTGTTTCCAAGCTAACAAGCTATATCTAGCCTTAGTTATCACAACTTTACTTATTTTTTTATTTTTACTTTTTGTTGCTGGGGATTGAACCCAGGGTGTCACACATGCTAGGCGTGTTAGTCAAGTGTTCTACCATTGAGTTATGTCCCCAGTTCCCAGCTCTCTCAACATTAAAAACTCAGGTGTTGTGGGTCACATTTGTAATTCCAGCTACTCTTGGAGGCTGAGGCTGAGGTAGGAGGATGGCAAATTGAGGCCAGCCTGGGCAGTCTGGGGGAGACCCTGTGTCAAAATAAAGAAATTAAGAAAGGGCTTGGCAGCAACAGTGAGGCACTAAGCAACTCAGTGAAACCCTTTCTCTAAATAAAATACAAAATAGGACTGAGGATGTGGTTCAGTGGTTAAGTGCTCATGAATTCAATCCCCACTATCAAAAAAAGAAAAAAAAGAAAGAAAGAAAGGAAGGAAGGAAGGAAGGACTGGGGATGTTGTTTAGAGGTAGAGCACTATCTAGGATGTGCTAAGTCCTGGGTTTAATCCCTAATATCACACACACACACATACACACACTCACTTACACACACACACACATACACACACTCACTTACACACACACACACACAACATACAAAGTTAAAAAGTGAGTGATAATAACTAGTAGGTCCTTTACTATCAAGGATACAGTAGTAAAACAAATCAAAGTCTTGCTCCTAGACTTGAAACATTACCTGTGCTAATGATGTCTTCTGGAAGCTCATCACCACAGTATCTGAAAGGGAATTTTTAGAAAAAAAGAGGTCACATAAAAGAATCTTTTATAGTTACTGAAGTGGCTCTTTGATTCCTTTAAGCAGTGGCTCATTTTTTCTATAATTTTAAAAATATTTCTTGTTTTTTAACTTGGATTTGTAAGAGAGAAAAGGGGTTGAAAGTTTGTTGTTTGAATCAATTCACAATATTAATTAATTAATTATTATTATTATTATTATTTGGTACTGGGTATTGAATCCATGGTACTTAACCACTGAGCCAGATTCCCAGCCTTTTTTATTTTGAGACAAGTCTTGCTAAGTTGCTTAGGGCCTTGCTAAATTGCTAAAGCTGGTCTCAAACTTGCCAATTCTCCTGCCCCAGCCTCCTGAGCCACTGGGCTACCACGCCAGGCTGGAGAGTCTAAAATAATGGTTACTGTGGTTGGGGATGTTGCTCAGTAATAAAGTGCTTGCCTAGTATGTATGAGGCCCTGTGTTTGATCCCCAGCACTGATAAAACAAACAATACAAAGAAAGAATAAAAAATGAGTTATTAAGTGGGGACATACACATATAAAACACTTAATTGTATATTTATGTCTCATGATATTTTGTTCCCTGTATTAGAAAAACACGAAAAAAATATTGCGGAAGGGAGCACTTGTTTTTTTATGGCAAAGAAATCTATTTTAAATAAGACATACATTGTACATTTAGCTAAATTGTAAAAGGGAAGGGGCTATTCTTTGCTAATTTACTTTGCATTCATAATACTTATCACAAGGCCTTTTACAAGGAGAAAGGCAACAATTGCTGAATTTATAATCATTTTTAGGAGGTTGACAGGAATTAGAACACTTAATAACCCCAACAAATTCTTCAACTAACATCTCTCTTTTCCTATTGTTAGTCAAATCATGAGTTTTTAAATACATTAATAAATTAATCAAAATGCTATTATCATATTTTAATAATAAGTACCTGTAGCAGTCAACTAAGAAAAATCTTAGTTGAAAAAGAATGTGATGTTATCAAAGAGTAGAAATATTGGAAAATCAATATTATATGCTGAGAAAAAAAAATTAAAGAAGCAACAAGTAATACTGAGCACTCACTGAACTTCCTGTATGCAGAAACACACGTACCTTCCCACAAAGCCATGGATGTCATCATAACTGTCATATATTTCAACATAGTCAGCCAAGCAACCTGGGTCATCTTCAATGTCAAAGTCCAAAAAACTCAGGTGAATACGCTGACCATACTTGAGTCTAATGTGCCAGTAGCATACCTGGTTATCTTCATACTCATTTGGGAAACCTGGAGATTTAAAAATTTGCTTTGGATCTGTAAAGACACCACCACATTCCTTTGCTGAAATTGAAAAGAAAAGAAAAGAAAGCCTTAGGAAGGTAATTATCCTTATTTAAAAATAATACTTCCTTCTTAGACATTATTTATTACTCTTTATGAAATACTAAAGAAATTGCTTAATATATAGTACCTATAGCATATTATGTATGCATATAGCTAAAGAATAAATATATTTTTTTCATTAAAAGTTTCTCAGTTACCGGGAACATGCATTCTTGCTAATATTTTAGTAGTAGAAATCTGTTAATGAAACAAGCTTGGTGTATTCTGTTGCTGTTTCATTTTAAATTGAGCATTAAGGGAATGAATTGTTTTAGTTGTAACTCTGCCAATATGTCTATCTAGAGGCCTGTTGCCATTTCTGTCTTCAGTGAAAATTTGTCCCCAAGAAAGTTGGTGTAGTGTATTCTTGGTTATCAAAAAATACTCATGTAGCTTCAGGGTTTTGAATTGATGAATATTCATGAGGTGTGGAAAAGCATGATACACACCACAATCTCAATCACACAAAATGGGATATTGTGTATATATGCACACAACCTAGAGGAACACGTCCAAATAAGCTTCTTGTGACTGGATGACTTTTTTCTTTGCTTGTGTGTGTGTTTTTTTTTCCTGTAATGTACAATTTACTTTTAAAAAATAAAAATTATTTTAAAAACAAACAAACAAACAAAAAGTTTCTCAGTTACCTAAAATGAACATGAAGTATTTGTGATTTTTTAAAAAGTAAAAATAGCAGGAAAAATGGTAATTTAATTGTGTTTCTGTTTTCATTTTTACTTTATAAAAAAATCTTTTAAGGCATAAAGTGTACATCTTTACATCTTTTTTTGGGGGGGGACACAATGCCTTTATTTTATTCATTTTTTTTTTTAATGTGGTGCTGAGGATCGAACCCAGTGCCTCACATGTGCTAGGCAAGCACACTACCACTGAGCTACAACCCCAGCCCTAAAGTGCACATCTTTTGTTTATTTATTTATTTTGGTACTATGGATTGCTTAACCACTGAGACACTCAGACACATCCCCAGCCCTTTTTAATATTTTATTTAGAGACAGAGTCTCGTTGAGTTGCTTAGGGCCTTGCAAAGTTGTTGAAGCTGACTTTGTACTCACAATTCTCCTGCCTTGACCTCCCAAGTTGCTAGGATTACAGGGGTGCACCACCACATTCAGCCTACTTTTATGCATTTTGCCAAATATATGTATACACCCATCTTACCAGCAGCCTAATCAAGATGGTAGTGATTTATTTATTTTCTATTACTGGGTATTGGATGCAGGGCCTTCAGCAAGTGCTGTGCCCCTAAACTACATCCTCAGCCCTTTTTCTACTTTTATTTTGTAAAAAGATTTATTGGTGCATTATTACTACATATAATACTGAGATTTACTGTTATATATTCCTACAATGCACACAATAGAACAATAGAATTGTTCTATTTAATTTAATTCCCCAGTACCTCCCCTTTCCCAATCCTTTTCTAACATTTTACTTTGAGACAGAGTCTTGCCAAATTGCCTAGTCTGGCCTTGAAGTTACAATCCTCCTTCCTCAGCCTCCAGAGTACCCAGATTGTGGGTCTGCACCACCACATCCCGCTCAACAAGGTGAGATTCTTTTTTTTTTTTTTTTTCCTGTTCTGTGGTTGTCACAACTGTCTTCAGGTACTCACTTAGAATAATGGGTCCTCTAAGTTTTGTGTGGAAAATTATTATAGAATTTTAGAATCATAAGGCACCATAACAGTGACTCAATCCAATAAAAGGGAATAATTTATAATCATTCTGTAACTTTTTTTAAATTTATTTTTTGGTGCTGGGTATTGAACCCAAGTTCTCGTGCAGGCTAAGTTCACACTATACCACTGAGCTACATCCATAGCCTTCATTCTGTACTGTCTATAGTTAGGGGATTTGTTTTTATTTTGTTACTGGGGACTGAACCCAAGGGTACTTTACCACTGAGCTATACCCACCCTGTCCCTTTTATGTTTTATTTTGAGACAGGGTCTCAATAAGTTGTCCAGGCTGATCTCGAACTTGATATCCTCCTGCCTCAGCTTCCCAATTTGCTGGGATTATAGGCATGCACCACTGTGCCAGGCTCTTTTAAAACCATACTGGTTTTAAACCAACATTGAAATCCTAATACTTGTGAATTTGATGGAGATATTCATGTTTGTTTTTTCCAAGTCATTCATCTTATAAATTTCAGTATGTCATATAACCTGTCATAAGAAAAACAAGCAAACCAAAATAGAAAAAGAACAAATAAAAATATTTTTCAGAACTAGTGGGTTTGCAATATGACCCAGAGAGAAGACTGTAGTGGAACTTAATTTTAATGCCCTATCAGTTAAGTTTTTAGTATCCAGGATTAAAAAAAAAAAAAAAGGTAGAAGCTGGAAACTCAAAAAATAACCTGTGTGGGTAGCATTTGAAGATATATTTATTTTAAATATATGAACTAAAGGTTTTTTCCAAGAATATTCTCCTTTAAAATAGCAATTTTAAAAACATTGTGTTAGAGCCCAGACTGGTAGCACAGGCCTGTAATTGCAGTGACTCTGGAGGCTGAGGAAGGAAGGTTACAAGTCTTGCTACTTTAGCAAGATCATGTTTCAACATAAAATATTTAACAAGTTCTGGGAATATAGGTTGGTGGTAAAGTGCCTTTGCGTTCAATCCTCAGACTAAATAAATAAATAAATAATTTAAAAACTGTTTAAAAATACTTAATACTATAGCAGTTAAGGGAATTTATCTTCCTAAGGCTTAATCTGAACAGGATCCTAGAAAGGCTGGGAAGAAATGGAATGGCCAAGGACCTAGTTGACCATTCTATATTTCATTTTCTTCCTCAGTAAAATGTAACTATGCCTACCTCACAGGGTTATTCTGAGAATGAAATATGGAAGATAATTTATGAGCGTTATGCAAATGTAAGCTAATGTTACTGTATCATGAAATATCATGTGATACGTGGTTTGTCTGTGTTCAAAAACATGACATCACCAGCTTTGGGAATGACTTGTTCTGTTCATACATTCTATTTTTGTTGTATGTCTGTTAGGGAAATATTTCAAATACTGAACTAATTTGGTTGCTTATTTAGATAAACCTATTTAGCTTTGTGGTTATTGCTTAATCCATTGCTTATTTAGAAAATGACAGATTTGCAAAACTGACTGGATATCTAATGACTATTAATTGGTTAAAAAATATACATGGGCAATGGTGTTGCATGCCTGTAATCTCAACGATTTGGGAGGCTGAGACAGAAGGATCACAAGTTTGAGACCAGCCTTGGCAAAAATAAATAAATAAATAAATAAATAAATACGTCAATCAACATCATGTCATGCATTCCAAACTTGAAATGAGCTACTACTTCTGAATATTTAACGATCTTATTATTACTTATTTTAATCAACTCTAACTTGGTAATTTGATAAGTAATAATGCTTTATTTCTTGATAGTATAATAATTTTTTCACTCCAATTATGTTTCAATGAGCTGTTCTAGTTCTAATTTAGGCAGTTTGCACTGTCCTTCAAGAAGCCGTGTCCTAAATAATCAGCATTCTACGAAATCTAAAAGTAAACTAAATATATGGAAGAAAAGGGGGAAAAGGGAAGGAGGAAAGGAAGATTTAGATACTGTTAACCATGAGGACTAAATACACAGTAGTAGAATACTATCTAAGACTAAATCATGTTAAAACATGCCAAAAGTGACTTGGAAGTTACAGTCCTATTATAAATGCATTGTAAACCCAGAGTGGTTGTGCATGCTTGCAATCCCAGATACTCCAGAAGACTGAAGCAGGAAAATTGTGAGTTTGAGGCCAGCCTGGATAATTTAGCAAGACGCTATCTAAAAATAAAAAATTAAAAGGACTGGGATAGCTTAATGGTAGAGCACTGGCCCCACCTGTGTGGAGGCTGTGGGTTCAATCCTCAGTACTGAAAAAAACAACAACATATATCTTGTTTCAAATAAGATGAGGACATAGCGCTAAGCAAAATTCTTTCTATTGGGAATACACATACTTTTGAGATATAGGTTAGTTATAGACATAAAAGACTATTCTTTTGTGATTAGTGTCATTAAATAATAAATTCTATAACCATATGCTAGAACTTCACTGTAACTCTCCCATTGTGCTATGGAATTTCTTACAAGGTGGATCCTAGTGGAACACTACTTAAGTATGTTTATGACCATATGCCAGAAGGACTTTGTAACATGTTATATAACACTTGTAATATTGTCCTGGGGGGAAATATCCCAAAAGAAGAGTCTATTTTTTTCTTCCAATAACATAAACAAAAATAACTATAGAAATTACAATGAATTAATTTTCTAATTAAATATTTTGAGCAATCAAGAAAAATATGAATAAAAATAATAATAAATAATCATAACCAGTATCTACAGAATATAGTTGTTAAGCCAAATCACAGAGTGAGAGTTGTTTTGGTTGGAAATCTAAACATTTAAATCTTCCTCCCTAAAAGAAAATTACAGCAAATATTTATTTATTTTGTCTCCTTTTCCCCATTATCCAAGGGATAATTTTGAACAGTTAACATTTGGTCACTTCACTTTATTGCTGTAGGTAAGTAATTATGACAAATTTATAATCTGGTCCTCCACCCCTCTCTTTTTTCTCTTCTTTGTAACCAGGAAGTTCCTTGGCACAGAGAAGACCCAAATTCTCACCCTACCTGCCTACTAATTATTGATTATATGATTTTGGATAAGTTACTTAAGTTCTGTAAAAGTTTAAATTTCTTGATTCCTAAAACAGCAATAACAATAACTTCTTGTAGAGTTGTGAATATCAAGTGAAGTTGTGAATATCATGTTGGTGAAGGAGGCTACTTCAGTGACTAGCACAGTAAAAGCACTCTAAGAATGGAGTTATTATTAATATTTATCATTACCAAATTTAATGTTTTTTCTGGAAGAAAAAGCCATTTTTTAAAACCATCTCTGAACAGTCTATAACTATTTTGTTGTTGCTTATTGTGTAATTTTGTTTGTAAAACATCGAATGCTCATTTTTAACAAACCATGTGGATTGAAGCAATAGGCATCCCATCTTTCACTCCTATTGAGACGGACTCCGTAATCAATAATTCCAGTTTTTCCAAATCCACAGTTGGGCCCTGGTTTCACAATGGGATATCCAACCCTGCCCTTGGCCATCCATCCAGCAGCACAGACATGAAATCCTGCAAGCAGAAGAAAGGGTTATGGGCTTAACAGGTAAATTCCTCAGCTGAGCTGAAGTCACCTTAACAAAGAGGGTCACTTCCAACAATAAGTTTCCCAACTGCCCAAGTCCAGTTCATGTAAAATGGGAAAAAAATATTTCCTTAAAAAAAAAAAAAAGTTTGCCCAGGCATGGTGGTGTATACCTGTAGTCCCTGAAACTTGAGAAGCTGAGGCAGGTAGATTGCAAGTTCAAGGCCAGCCTCAGCAATTTAGCAAGACCCTGGGCAACTGAGTGAGATCCTATCTCAAAGTAAAAAATAAAAAAGGGCTGGGAATGTGGCTCAGTGGTAAAGTGGTTTCAATCCCCCCACCACCAAAAAAGAAAAGCTTGATGTCTCTTGGCTAAGATCAAGTGCAGTATCTATTTTTATCCAGTTAATATTTAATACATCCCCTATCCTTGGACAATATACTGAATGGATTTTTGAAGCAAGGAAATGGAATAGGAGCTTGTTTTGACCACTCTAAGAAGCCACCTAGTATTGCACTACCTACAGGAATGGTATATCCCCTTGGATGGCAATAGGAAAAAAAAAAGTTTGAACAGAAATAAAATATAACTTGTTACTTTTACAAGAAAATGATCTTACTAGGAAAAAACAAATAAGATGGACCACAAATCATACAATGGACATAAAAATATTCCAGGTTCAGAGCTGGTTTTCCCATTACCATTAAATAATTTCTGTAATTACTGTAAATTCAGAAACATATTAAAAAATTTCAAGTGACAATTTAATGACTTTCTATTTCAGGATCAATTAAGATATTAGTACTATTTGAAAGAATTTGAATAATGATAAATACTATTACAAATTTCAAATGAAGACTTGGCCTTGTTTCCCTGGCTCAGGTTTGGAGGTGTTTTAAACTCTGTCACTGCCATCAAACAAGGATGTTACTAGAGGTCCAGGAAGGATCATCAAGACTATGGCCTTGGTGTCCACCATGACAGTTCCTTTGCCCCACATAGCCTTGAGCTGTTATCTGGGAAGGCTTTGGGGTATCTGAGAGGATACTTTTACTGATGACCCTTCAAGTACATAGATTCTGCATCTGTGCACTCAACCAACTGGGCAATCAAAATTTCTCTCTCTCTCTCTCTCTTTGGTAACAGGGATTGAACTCAGGAGCACTGAGCCACATTCCCAGCCCTTTTTTAAAAATTTATTTTATTTAGAGACAGTGTCTTACTAAGTTGCTTAGGACCTTACTAAATTAGTGAGGCTGTCTTTGAACTCATGATCCTCCTGTCTCAGCCTCCTGAGTGGCTGGGATTACAGGTGTGCACCACCCCAATGGCAAAAATCTCTTTTTTAAAAAAATTGTGTCTCAGGGGCTGGGGTTGTGGCTCAGTAGCGGAGGGCTTGCCTTGCACATGTGAGGCACTGGGTTCCATCCTCAGTACTACATAAAAATAAATAAACAAAATAAAGATATTGTGTCCACCAAAAAATAAAAAAAAATTTTAAATTGTGTCTGTATTGAACAAGTACACACTTATTTCTTGTCATTATTTCCTAAACAATATTGTGTAACTATTTACAAAGCATTTACATGGTATTAGATGTTATGAGTAATCTAGGATGATTTAAAATATATGAGGGAAGGGGATGTAGCTCAGTGGTAGAATTCTTGCCCAGCATGTACAAGGCTCTGAGTTTGATCCCCAGCGTAGCAAAATAATTAATAAGTAAGTAAATAAAATTGATGGGAGGATGTGCATGTGTTAGGTGAAAATACTTCATCCTTGGGATCCATAGAATCCTGGAACCAATTTCTCTCTGATATTGTGGGATAACTGTATATCACTGTTATTATACAATAGCATAAGTTTGACAGGCATTTTCCTGTCAGTAAAGGAGTTCTGATGGGTGTGGTCCATTCTCCTACAAGCCCAAGAGAGATGACAGCAGCACTGCCTCTCCCCACCCTTTTTCAAAGAAGAAAGTAGCTCTATAATTGTGAGACCTCCCTATCTACCTTCCTTTCTTCCTTCCTTCCTTTTTCTTTTGTGGTACCGGGAATTGAACCCAGGAGTGCTCTACCCCTGAGCTACACTTCCAGCCTTTTTATCTATTTAGCTACACTTCCAGTGTACACTACCAGTGTATGCTCAGTGTGTACTACCACTGAGCTACACTTCCAGCCCTATTTATTTAGTTAGTTTTTGCAATGCTGGGGATCAAACTCAGGACCTCATGCATTCGAGGCAAACGCTCTACCACTGAGCTACACTTTCAGCCTTTTAAAATTTTTGTTTTGAGACAGGGCCTCACTAAATTGCTCAGGCTGGCCTCCAATGTGTGATCCTCCTGCCTCAACCTTCTGAGTAGCTCGGATTACAGGTCTGTATCACTTGGCCCAGCAATTTTTTTTTTTTTACCAGATATTCTTTTTTTTTTTTTTTTTTTTTACTTTCCAAGTTTCTCCTGACATTTTGCAATCTGCTTACCTTTTCCTCATAGCTTTCAATTCTGTAGTACAAATGCAGTCTTTCATTTAATGTTAAAAATATTGGGAAAAAAGTCTCTAAATTCAATATTTCTCCTATAAAGTAAATTTCTTTGTAAAACTCAATGTAGTAGCATCATTTACTAGCTGAGGAAACCCATAAGAAGTCAAAAGTTAGAAAAATATTGAAAATGAATAGCGGGACTAGGGTTGTGGCTTAGTGGTAGAGTGCTAGCCTAGCACACATGAGACACTGGGTTCCATCCTCAGCACTACATTAAAAAAAAAAAAATGAAGGTATTGTGCCCATGTATAACTAAAAAAAAATATTTAAAAAAATGAATAGCAATTACATTAAAAGTAATGAGAAATTTAAATGATATTGAGAAAATAAAGTTTTCATTTTCTTTTGATGTTTATTAGTTCTCACTGAACTGTAACCCCAAGTAAGAGGCTTCTAGAGCCCTTCTGGCTCTAGGTGGAGAGAAGAGGAGAAACCAAACAGCAAAGATGTCCTGGGTGCTAGAGAACTATCCAAAAGTACTTGCAAGAGGAGACTCACTGAGTGTCATAGGAAAGGTGAATTGTTTTCCCCCAAGGCTGAAAAAGAAGAAAAATCAATACTAAATGAGTTACCAATTTTTCTGGCTGCCTCTAGCTGCTTGTAGGTGGCAAGACGACCGCCCTCAAATTCACACACCGCCTTAGCTTCTGCGTAGGTGAGCTTGTACTTGCCAGACCGGGCTTCTCTGTGGTATACGCCCGCTGCTTGTTCTGTGAAATCACAAAATGTCATCAATACACTCTTATCCATTCTTGCGGAACAGGGAATTTTGCCTTAGCTGAAAGATTACTTCAACTATTGTTCCTGCCAAAGAACATTCTAGGTCAGCTGCTTTGGGTAGCTGTTTTTATTATTAGAAAGCTTTGGGAAAAAATATGAATAAAGGGAAATTTGGGGACATAAAAAAAAACATGAGGCTGGATTGTTTCTGACATGATAACCAGAAAGAAAGTTTGGTTTCTTTCTTTCTTTCTCTCTCTCTTTCTTTCTTTTTTTAATTTTAAACAAGATTGTATTTCTACATTATCATTAAGTGATAAAGTTTCTATTTCTTTTGGCTTTAAGCCCTAAAAACTTGGAAAAGTAAGCAACAGGTAAGAAAAAAATGAGTGAAGGCCAAAGAAACCAATGAAAATGGATCCATTATGTAGGCTTACAAATTATGGAGAAAAGAAGCCAAAATATCCACGTGAGGGAAATGACTAAGGTGATATAATTGAGAGCTTAGTAAATAAATTAAAAACTACAAGAGTCCAAAGCAAATGAATACTTGGTTAAGGAAAAGGAAAATAGATTCGAACACACTAAAGAAAAATTGGGCATATTTAACTGCCAGTTAGTCCCTCACTTCCTTGTTTGGTTTTTTTTTTTTTTTTCTAGTTCACATGCTGTTTCTAACATATTTTAGGCAGTGTTAAGTCATACATGAGTTGTCTTCCAATAGATCATTGTTTAAATGGATTGTTTTTAAGTTGGAGTACCTTCTGCCATAGAAACCATGTGAAGAGATTCCAAAGACAATAGTCATAAAGTTAGCCCTAATAGTTCTACCAGATTATGGTTCTGCCAGATTATAGTTAAGTATGTCTACCCTAACCTGTGCAGTCAGCCACCATTAAGACCATTCCCAACAAGAATGTATATTCCTTGGCACGCAGCAAAACATAAATCCAGTGCTATTAAGAAACACAGTTCAGTCCAATTCAATGTTCTTCCCAAACTAAAGTTGACACTGCTACAATTCAGTGAGAGATGGTGTGTGGCATGTTCCCTGCTTTTCTAGATTCCAGAGGACCCTGCTCTTTGTTATATGGTAAAGGCCTATCTGTCACACACAGAACACCTTAGTCAGTTTGATGCTCATAGATCCAAGAATACCAGCAGAATCAAATCATACCCAGTCAAGATGTCTTCCCTTTTGCAAATCACCTACCGCCCAAGTGTCCTTCCTATGGCGAAGTCTCAGTAAACTTCCACTAATTTCCAGTTTGGTTATTTTGAGCAAATACCATGAGGTATTTTGCTAAGCAGGGTAGATCAAGTCCCATCCTCAAGAAAATGGGACAATAGTGGGTTATGTGTGTTATCTTTATCTGTAAATACTTAAAACACTAAGACATTTGATAGAAAAAGGATTCATGCCTAATTTACTTACATATTGTAATAAAGATTGTTAATTTTTAAAGCTGTTAATATTGTATCTGTTCCCCAAGAATATAAAGTAAGAATCCTTATTTGAAAAAAAAAATTGTAGGAATTATTTTAATGTGTTACAAGCTTTCTCAATCTGATTTCTTCCATATTTTACTCCAAAATTAAAATATGATGTTTGCAGGGGAAAAAAATTAATAGATTTTTTTAAAGAAAATAATTTAAAATCTCCCCCGCCCTGGTAATTTTTTTAAAAAAACTTTTGGTACATGCTGATACTTTTCGAGTAATAAGATAATAACTCTCAGGAGGCTGAGGCAGGAGGATCTCAAGTTGGAGGCCAGCCTGGGCAATTTAGCAAGACTCTGTCTCAAGATAAAATAAAAAGGACTAGTGATATCACTGAGTGGTAGTATGCCCCTAGGTTAAATTAGTAACTGAAATAGAAAAAATGTGTGCGTTATCATTTTCAATTTAATTTGCTAAATGTTAATATTCTACATTTTTCTTCCCTCAAAGAGCACCAAAGTTCCCAGTGTCTTGCTTGATGAGCAAGTACAGAGAACTCTTGATGTTTGTACTTGGAAATTTTAAACAAGGCTTTTATTTTAAACTACTCCTCAGTTCAGAATTTTAACCTATTAAGATGGGCCTTTGTATATTAAATCCTAATTTTAAAAGTTTTATCTTTTAGAATCACTAACATCTTAATAATTTTTAAATCAATAGTCAATTACTTTTTAAAGCTGAAAATTTATATATATATATATATATATATATATATATATATTTTTTTTTTTATTTTATTTTTTTCACTAAGTTGTAACAGTAGTGAGTTGACTCTGGTTTCCACAGCTGGTCCTACCATGAAGGCATTATGTGACCTTGTATAAATCACCGCCTGAGCCTCGATTTCTCCTTCTGTCAAATGGGGGTAAAACCAGCTCCTGTCCTATAAGAAGAGCTCAGGTAATGTTGTTATCCCTTTCCCTTGTCCAGATTCAGAACAGAGGCTGAAAAGAATTGATATTTGTATATTTTTAATGTTCATGATTCATGTAAACTAATCAAAATCTCTTG